CTTCCGTGTGCCATTACCTGTTGGGTCTGCTTGTCCTTAATATAAACAGATTGTGAGTCAAAAGTAAACTCACATGGATAGTCAGAAGTTAACTTTGACACAGACAAGAGAGATCTAGTAATGGCATGACACACAAGAACATCATCTAACGGAAGATTACCTTGAGGAGTATGCAGAGCAACAGAACCCACATGAGTAATAGGCAAGTAATCACCATTGCCGACAATCACCTGATCATTTCCAGTGTACGCCTCAGCAGACTGAAGCTGAGAAGCATTGTTAGTGATGTGAGCAGACGCAGCAGAGTCAGGATACCACTCTTGGCCAGAGTAGTTTTGTTGATCTGAAAGCTTCATGGTGTTCATAGCGTTGTGGAGAGTCTCTTGATTAGGTTCATCTTGATCAAATCTATTGTAACACTTGACTGCAGAGTGTCCATACCTGCCACATATCTGACAGGTTGGTCTAGTGTTTGACCCTGATCCTCCTCCTGTAAACTGCTGATGGAACCCACGACCGCGAGTTGAGTAGGAGTTAGACCCTCTGCCTCTGTAACCTCCAGGATTGTTATAACCTCCTCTGCCTCTGTTCGAATAGCCTCTCCCAGCATGAAAGGCGAGATGAGGATTAACATCAGAGGACTGTTGATATGTTTGGAGCTTGTCATCAAAGTTAACCAGCTTAAACACAGCATCGTCAAAGGCCAGTTCAGGAACAGAGTCCATGGAGTGTTCTATAACCGTACATATTGACTCATATTCCTTCCCTAGACCACTAAGAGCACCATAAATCTTTTCATGTTCCGAGAGAGGACAACCAATGGAGTCAAGTTGATCACAAACACTCTTTACATCGCTCAAGTATTCAGACATAGGCTTTTGTTTCTTGGACATACCTTGAAGTTTCCTCTGCAGATCTAGTTTTCTTGTTGCAGACACGCGGTTATACTTCTTACCAAGACTGAACCAGACCTCTTGAGCAGACTGCAAACCGTAAACAGATCTGAGAGCTTCTTCAGTCAAAGATCCAAAAAGCCAAGCCATAACGAGTTGGTCTTTGCGGATCCATTTAACAAACTCCGGATTTGCTACCTCTGTAACCACTTCACCTTCTCTTGTGGTCGTTGTTGGAGCAGGACGAGGAGTAGAACCGTTCACAAAGCCAAGAAGAGACTGACTTGACAAAAAGGACTTAAACTGAGTTTTCCATAGCAAATAGTTTGTAGAAGAGAGCTTTAGAGTAACACAGTGAGAGATACTTAAAGTCGGAGAAGAAATCGTTTCACTTGTGTCTTCCATAGTTCTGATACCATGAAGACAGAAGGAGAAAAGCTTAACGAAGAAGAAAGACTTTAACTTTTGTGTATTATTTTCCTTAACCAAAAACGTTTACAAGCTCATTGTCTTTATATACAAAAACGTTTATCTTATCTCTTTGCACACGTCAGCACACCAACGCACATGATAGAGCATCAAATCTGTTCGAGGTTGAGATCCCATTAGCTGTCTTCNTCCTTAACCAAAAACGTTTACAAGCTCATTGTCTTTATATACAAAAACGTTTATCTTATCTCTTTGCACACGTCAGCACACCAACGCACATGATAGAGCATCAAATCTGTTCGAGGTTGAGATCCCATTAGCTGTCTTCTCCGTACGAGCACAGCTTTGGCGTGAGTGAGCTTTAGTCTTCTTTACCGTTGAATGCTCAGGCATAATGGGCTTCCTCTCCTTCTGCAATTGGGCTTTTCCCGTAAGCCCAGAGGTTGATGTCGAAGCCTCTCCTTCAGCTAGCGTGTTTGGAGCATTGTTGCTTATATGTTTAAGCGAGCATAGGTGATAATTGTTCTCCAGATTTCAGTACTTTTTAGTTTGTGAGCATATTTAACTATAACTACTTGTGTATAATATACGGATTCCAAACTCATGCATCTCTAGTTATACTTTGCATACCATGCTATGTCTATTGCTACATAACATGGCAATAATGTTTAATATCTGCTTAATAAGAAACGTGCTAAGATTGAAAAATTGGTGCTCAACAAGAGATCATTTGCACAGACAGTAGATAATCTGTTGCACTATCCTTCTTGGTGAAAGACAAACTAGGTAAGATCACTGTTGAGAAAGATGGCTCTCATTTTGGCTGTAAGTTATACCTTTTGTCGCTTCTCCTTACTTACAAGGAATGCACCTGCAGCAAAACTGTCAAGTGAAGTTGTGTACAAAGCTTTAAGGTGCAAAATACTATTTTCTCGATTTCATTAATTCTCTAAATGGTATGTATAATTAAGCAAATGATTTTGGGATTATAGTGAATCTTGCATAGCTGACAAGCACAATGATGAAGAGGAGAAGAGCTGATGCCCCATATGATATAAGTCTCACAAGATGGTCAGACAACACCAATAAAATAGATGAAGCTAAACAAAGTCCAATGATATAAAAGGAAAAAAATGTAAAAGGTTTTTCCTAACATCGAAAGCAACAATGAAGATAACATAAATGGTGGAATCGCCGGATAAGCAAGCTCTGGCGACTAACACGTGAATATGGTTTGTGAATGGCTAGTTCTTATCTTTTGGGAGTACACAGAACTTATCAAGGCTTATATAACCTATGTTTTTTTTATAAGTCAGATACCTAGGCCCAGAGAGTCATAGGATGAGGTGGCTCCTTAGGTACCATGCATCATATGAAATATTATCGGTCCATTAAGCTCAGAAAGCCAACTGACCCAGAAGCTTTGCAAATTTCTACCGATGCATTGAACTCGAGTTGTGACCAGATTTGGCCTTTCGGCTCCCAGTCCTACAACCACTAGATCACAACCGTTGGTTTCGATTTTGGTAGTAAGCAAGCATGTTTTATGAGGACACAACTGTTTATTGGATTCCCTTTAGATTGTTATTTGGTTTATAGTAAGCTTTGATTTTTCTAAGGACCGTTTTCCTGTCACTTTACCTGGATCAGTAAAGTAACTGACGAGTTCGCCAACTGAAAAAAAAAACAAAAACTTTCTCATACCAATGTAACTGGTTTTGCATTTATATCTACTTGTGTGACTAGGTAATTATCATTAATATATGCAACAAACTCGAACACAAACAAAGAAAACCAACAACATTGGTTTGAAGAATAACGTTCCCTTGGCTTTGAGTCTTTTCTTTCAAAAAGAAAAAGAATAACGTCCCCTTTTTAATAAACGTACAGATTCTTACATATATATTACAGCTGTAATACGAGTAAACTTTAATTTGAAAATATTTATTTCTATAAACAGAATTCAAAATATGTAAATCTCATCCTTGTAGAGTAACCGTACCATCATATTTTCATAGCACTGGTTTTGATACAAAAAATTTCCAAAAATATAATAATATTTTCATTAAAATGGATAAGGAACGGAAAATCAATGGATATATCATTATATCTTTAGAAAATATGATTATATTTTCGGATTTTTTCTGTATCAAAACCAGTACTATAAATTTTTTATGTCGAGATTTCAGTTTTAAATGATTTATGACGAAGAATGAATTAATTAGCGAAAGTGATTTTTTTTAGAAAAAAGCTGAAACCTTCATTTAAAAATATTATATATATTATAGTATTATTCCAAGATGAAATATGCTTTTGTATTATTTGAATAACAAAAATATGTTTTTCATCAAAATATCAGATTAAGATAAATAAAATGCAAATTAACTAATAAAAACACTTTTTCTGAAACCTGAAGCCAACAAAGATCAAAATATTTTCAGAGATATACGATCACAAGAGAAATTAAAGCAATTTCATTAGATGAACGAAAAGAATATTAAAATATAAATCAAAGTCATATTTTAGATATGGAAATACCGGTGATTATTGTCATCAAAACGGAAGCACATATCAATTTCCAAATCGAAACATGTCGAAGAAACTTTAGAAAAGTGAAAATAATAATTAAGATGGTATTTTTTTAATATTTAGTGCTATTATTGAGCATTGTTTTAAACCCTAATATTGTACTTCATATGTTTCATTTTAATAGATGTTTAAGGTTTTTGCACAAAAATTAAGAAATACAAAAGTTTATCTAATTTATCTTGGTACATAAAAATAGCACTTTGAGAAAATAATTTGAATAATAAAAATATGTTTTTCATCTAAAAATTAGTTTCAGAGAAGTAAAATGCAATTCACACACATTAACTAATAAAACACTTTTTTCGAAACTAGAAGCCAACAAAGATCGAAATCTTTTCGGAGATACGATCGCAAGAGAAATTAAAGGAATATCGTTAAATGGAGGAAAATAATATTATTAAAACATAAATTAAAAGTGATATCTTAGATATGTTATTACCCATGATTATTGTCATCAAAACGGAAGCACACATTGATTTCCAAATAACGAATCGAAACGTGTCGAAAAAACTTCAAAAAAGTGAAAATAATAATTAAGATGGTATTTTATTTAAAAAGTTAGTGTCACTATTTAGCATCATTTGTTAAATTATAATAATGTACTCCATATGTTTCATTTTAATCGATGTTTAAGGTTTTTACACGAAGATTAAGAGAATACAAAAGTTCATATAATTTATCTTGGTACATAAAAATAGCACTTTTTATGAAGGATTTCATAAAAATAGCATTAAATAAAACTAATTCAACAAGTAGAAAAAATGCAGCATTTTGTAATTGGTCATAAATTTCAAGTAATATTAAATTGTACGTAGAATAACACGAACATCAATTATTTTGCAACGAAAAAATTCTTTAAACACCAAATAAATTGAAACATGGGTAGTAGGTCTATGGAACATTTTTTTGTTTCGTTAAAAAGATGCAAATTCATAAATTCTACATATTGTAACTGAATGACATTTTAATAGATTTGCTTAAATCTCCAAAGTTCAGCTTTCCTCTCAAAAAGCTTAATCAGACACATAATGCTTACAATCATTTTCTCTCTTTTTTATTTTTATTAATCAAATACAAAGACAACGACAATCACTCAGTTCCATTGCAGCTCTTCGCTTTCTCCTTCCTGAACTTTATCCCACAAGCATTGCATAAACTCTGAAACACATTAACAACACAAACACTCATTTAGTTCAAGTTTAAGCAGCGCAGTTAATATCATAAACATGATTAATTAGTTGAAGAGTTTGAGATTAGTTAATGAACTTATAACCTTAGGACCAAGAGGACCCTTACGCCACATAGGAGTGTTAGTTGTGTTGCAGTTCAAGTTCGTACACTTCCTCGTCTCGTTAAACCTTCCTGCTAAACAGCAGCCGCAGCAGCCCAAATGCCCTGGATTTGCGTTTGCGTTTGCGTTACGACGTGCTCTCTTAGCTGGGACATCAATCAGAACATAGTCACTTCCCGTAGGAGTCTCCTGTGCCGGAGCTGGAGACGGTTGCATCGAGGAAGAAGCAAAGTTTAAGGTCTCTCCAACGCCGGAGAAGTGGTTGAAGATTAAGTTGTAGTATCTGATATTGACATCAATGTTCATTCTCCCACCTTCTTCTTCGTTGGTCTCGTTCCTGAGAACGTGACGGCGGCCACGATTCTCGCCGTCGTTGTTGTTGTTGTCTCGGCGGTTACGGTCGACGTTGTTGCCCTATTATGGTGTAATTAAAAAAGAATTAGCATTTAATACATATTTGTCCATATGTGGCGTTGTTATTAAGGGTATTAGTTGTAAAAAGAAAATGATGACAAGGATTAAATGTTTTTTTCCTCCAACTTGCTATTGTTACCTTTAAAACAGTGAGGGGCTAGCTTTTTTTCTTAGACAAAGATGAATGAATTTAATATTATTTTGATGAATCGGCGTGAAATTATTCAAATGAAATTTCTGTGAGATGTAAGATAAACATGATATTACTATTAGTCATGCATTTTTCAAATGTTATCAAGTGGTGATTGGTGTCAATCGATCTTTAGGATTAATTCATCAGATTTTTTTTTTTATCTCTAGTTTTTTTTGGTCGAAATCTCTAAGATTAATTCATCAGACATTTCATGCTTTTCTGACTAAAATTTCGTGAAATGACATCGAAGTTACAACGGTAACAAAATTCTGTCGATGATTTTCATGTTTATTCATGACTTTCATTTTCTTGGTTGGACCTAGGGTGCCCTAGGCTGAGCCAAGTGAGAATTAGACACTCATACTATCTGACTACATGGATGAGTATCCCGGAACGCTTAGTATCGTTCCGGGCTCGCTGAACCATGGTCATCCGTGTGGTTATGTGTAGTGATGTTCATCAGTCAACAACAGTGAAAAAGATAATATTAATGAAACAAAACCTGATCAGTGATGGGAGTGTTTAAGCTCAGATGTGTCTCAACAGTAGGACTTGGCAGACCCAGCCTAAGTGTTAAATCCAATTCCTTCTCCATTTCCTCTATAAGACTGAAGAAAAAAACAATAAAAATACATGCAACTGTTAATAAGTTTCATACGAATTTTCAATCTACAAAAACATTTTTGGAGAACAATTTAAACAAACTTAATAAATGAAAATGGGCATGCATGGTATGTATTCATACACTTACAGAGATGATCGCAAAAAATCTACAAGTTTTTTTTTTTGAGAAAGTGCTTAAAATCTACAAGTTTTTGGTTTTCAGATTCGAAGCTTATCGATCCACTAATCTTTTGGAGATCGTGTGTTGCTTTGGTGTATTTATATACAGATAGACAAATATATGAGCGTTATATTCATATATACGCACGTATAGGAGAGCAGCACTAAGGCATGAGAAATGTGATTATCAAAAAATCATGATTGCTACATGACAAATTGAGTTTAATTTCGAATAAAACATAGAATTTGAAAGAAAGCCAGTTACACAAAAAAAACATAGAATATGAAGAAAACGGTTAAATTTCTTTAAGACCAACCATGGAAATAACATGAGAAGACTGAAGAGAAGATGAGAACTTACACCAAGAGACTCTTTTCCCTTGTATATTTTTTTATAAAAATATGTAACTAATTTGATTGGAAGGAGTAGATTTAAATTTATATCTGGTAAGATTTTTCTCAAATGTAATAAAATTATATCCCTCTATTTGTTATAAAAATGATTTAATTATTTTAAATTTTACACTTGAAGCTTTTTGCTAATTATATATTCATTACATAGATTTTAGTTTCTGGTGGTGGCTCATTAATGTATTTTAAATCCTGACTAAAACTACATGGAGAAAGACTAGTAGAATCGGAATGGAAGAGGTGGGGCTGGGTGTGTGGCATTTTGGTGAGCATTCTTAAGAAAATAACACAGCTTTGAAACAACAAAACATTATTTGTTCTTCACAAATCGAGAGCCAAAATCAAAAGGAGATATGACAGTCATGTATTGGGCCATGTCTTGAAGTGTTTCTTGGCCCAACCATATGTTTAGGCAAACTTAGAAAGGTGGTTTAAAAAAGTAGAAGTGATCCATCTAACAGGTGTTCCAAAAAAAAAGGGGATCAATCTAATGTAGGTTGTTGAAGCTATGTGAAAGGTGGGCACATTTGGAAAAACCAGGTCCCAACCGGTTTGGTAAAATGGTGATCCGAGTATATGCCTAATCTCTGACTCAAGCTTGTAGCGCGTTTATTATGAAGTATGAAGTGTGCCTTTGTTGTGCAGTGGATTGAATCCATGGTCGACTCCGTGTATGAAAACTGTAAATGACTACTATGACTGAACTGAGAGTTCGAGAGTTTGTGTTCCCTAGGCCTGAGCGTTACCAACCCGACGGGGCTGTAAATTGTGGCTGTTATTAGAGTCTGATGTGCTAGACAAAGCTTTGTGAAAAAAGCGTTTGGAAATTGGAATGCCAAATACCATTTGTTTATGTTATTAACTTATTACGTAGACGTAGTGATCAGGACTGTATAATCAAAGAATACTTACTGCTCCTTCGAAATTGTTTCCCTTAATTTTTACCATTGTTGTACGTTAGCTGTCTCTCGTTACTCCCTTCATATGTATGTATGTATATATATAGAGAAAATGATTAAAATAGCATTAACATATTTTTTGTCACAAATATAACACTTAAGAATAAAAATGACCAAAAATAGTAATTAATGTTTATTAATGTTTTATCAAAAGAGATAAATATATCCAAATGATAAATTAATTTAGACATTAGAGTTTAGGATTAAGGGGTGGAATTTAGGGTTTGGAATTTAGGTTTTAGGGTTTAGAGTTAGAGAGTGGAGTTTTGGGGATAAGATTTCAATTTTTGAAAAACAAAAAATTAAAATTTTTAAAAGATAAAATGTTATTTTGGTCATTTTTAGATTTTAAGACTATTTTGTGACATAAACTTAGAAATGTGCTATTTTGGAGATTTGCCCATATATATATGCAGATGGATGTACAATAGTTTGGTTTTGATATGTTTCTAAAGAAAAGTTTTATTCACCAACAAAGACTGCTTACATTTTTTTGAAAGATACAATTAAAAAGTTAAGTATAAAAAGAATTTACAAAGGGAAAGTAGTTGAAGTTCTGGCAATAAATAGTTTCCTTTTAACTATTTTTTTCAAACCAGAGATGATGCACAATCCCTAACTTGACCACCAGAGGCATCATAAGAGCGGAGAGAGACTAGCTTGAGAAATGTATGACTGGTGCAAGCAGTGGAGATCTGTCCAATTCTCCAGCTTTCAAAATAGGTCAGGAGGCTGTGGATGTTTTCAATTAAGAGCCCAAATATATAGTGTCAATATGGATTTTCTTTGGTGAATATTTTTGAGACACTCCACAGCTGAAATAGGCCAAACAACTCAGCTTCAAATTTTAGGCATTCACAGAAAACGACCTCCTGCTGTGGGAATGAGCATTTTCTTTATAATCACGTAGCCACCAATAAACCCCACAGTTTTGGTGTTGATAAATTGTTGCTAATCCTTCAGTTGCCTAATCAAATTTGTTCACATTGATGATATAACAACAGACATAAAAAAATATGAATCTATACTCGCTAAGAAACCCTAATTACAGTATATGGGTTTTGAACTTGTGTAAGGTTGGGTTTGTATTAGGCCTTTGTGTGTGCTTCACTAGATCAACAATTTATAAGATCCTGGCAATACAATAAATGCAAGAAAGTCAAGACATGTTAAACCTATCCAATCTCTCTTATTATTTACTCCTTCCTTTACCAATCAATGGGCTCTTCTTAGATTCACGTTGGCGCAATGTAACGATAGCTATACATTAAAATAAGAAAAAAAAACTAGTGATTATTATTACTAAAATAACATCCAATCATCTTTTTATTACTAAAATGACATACAATTATTTTTAATTACTAAATTGTTTTGTATACCTAGAATACCCTTATTCTTTTGTTAACAAAAAAATATATTTACAGAAAATGTCACTCACCAAGTTATAAAATTTTCGAAACATGCAAATAAATTTACCCTAAAAAGTCTACAACATTTGATAATAGATTTATTAGTCTCTAGAAGATTTATTTCTTTACGCAGGCTTATTTCGGTAGATTTTATATCATAACCGACTTTAGAAAAAAATCTACCACACACGATGGTAGATTTAATTATGTTCGCAGATTTTCTTTCTGTTTGCAATTTTTTCCGGCAGATTTTTGTCTTATGATAGCAAATTTATAATATGTCGTAGACTTTTATATTTGCATGCAGATTTTTCTCTTAGGTCTTTTATAATTTGGTAGCAATTATTTTGTAGAGTTTTGTCTTATGATAGCAATTTTTTCTTTTTTTTTACAAGTGGCTATTTTTTTAAGGTTTCCCATCTTTCTAATATGAATCATAACTGTGTAAAGATACTAACCGTTACATTAATTCAGAAAGAAGTAGAAAAAAAAATTCGCCAATATATCAACCTGAATCCATATAGTCTCATGTAGTTTGAATTTTGTTCAAGTCAGACGATGTTCTCACTGGATTTAAGAGTTTACTTAGTACCACGTTAGTATTCATAGTTACTCTTTTAAGAGAAGATAAAAACATACAAGAGTACTTTAACTGAAATGTAAATATAAGAGTGTTGTTGAGGTATAGATCGCACGAGACAAAGAGTGCTTCAGAAAAAAAAACGGGCTCTTTTGGCACAACAGAAAAGACATTTGTGCTGTGTGTTTCTTTTTTAAAAACAATCGATGATTTTTTAGAAAATTTGGCTTACATCTTTCTTCTTCTTAGTCATGTTAGGAACTATGTGAAGAAGAAACGATTTAAGAGGTAAGTTTTCTGGAAAGAAGCAACTTGATTTAAAATATAATAATTGGGATAACAGCACGGTTTCAATAATCCCACATGAGTTTAAGCTTTATAGTTTTCTCTTGCAGTAATTAATATTAATTTTGGGTTCTGACATTGTTTGTGATAATAACCAAATCAGATTTTCATACGCCATGTAAAGTGGCCAGTATGAAGAGTATTTCACGGATGAAGAGTAGAGTAGAGAGAGCAGACAAGAGTTGGATGCTTGTGTTATTGTAGCTTATCTTTGCGTGTAGGTACATGTCTTTTGATCTGTGGCATTAACATCTACATATCAGTGAAGCTGGTTTGGCTCTCTTGAAGTACAACAATCAGTAATCATAATCTGCATCTCGAGTCGGATATTACTTTTATGAGGAAAACAACTGTTGGTGTTGAATATATTGGTATAGGTCGGTTCAAAATGACAGAAGAAGGGCTGCATAAACCAAAAGTTGAATTAGAATAGAAGCATAGACTGGCTTAATGAACTGCATCGTCTAGGGTGCCATACATAATGAAAAGATCGACGTCGTTATGTGTGAGTCTAATCAAGTTTTGCATTACATGCATGTGTAAGTGTACCAATACACAGGGCCGTCTAATAGCATGTGTAAGTGGAGCGGTCGAATAGGGCCTCAAATGTAAAAATAAAAAAATAAGGAAAAAAGAAGGAAAAATTAAGAATTTTTGAGAAGTATATAGATAAAATTATGATATTCTTAAAACAAATTTAGATATATTGCTAAATTAGAACTTATAGTTTTAAGGAAGCATCAAATATAGTTATTAACTTTTTTAAAAAAAATTATTAAATCATAAATATATCATTAATTTTTTTTAAACAGGGTCTAAATTTTAGACGATCCTGCCAATACACTATGCATATGTGATGAGAGAAAATACTTCAAATACTTTTGTTAACTATAGTAAGTTCTTCTAATCAGAAATGAACGTCTGTTTTTAAAACTGCGTACAAAAAAATTATTTTTTATTAAGCTTTATCTATAGTTGAAGTAATGTGGCTTATATGACAAGACCCGTATAAAACTAAAGAAAATGTGTTAAGTCAAGCTTTTATTAGTATGATGTTGTAAGTTGTATTTGAAGAAACTAGTAAACCCATGCTTGATATTGAACATATGTGTTTACTAGCTAAGCGCTTGACCAAAGTTTTAATGAAGGGGTATGCTGTTATTCCTTCTTTCACAATCCACTGTTATTTAGACAATGATTCCAAATTCTATTTTAAAATCTAGTGTTAATCAATGAATGCTTTAAATCAAGTATTTTAAATCTAATGTTATTCAATTTTTAATGATTTTAAAATTCTTTATATTTAAAAAATAATTTCAAATCATCCATCATGGAGTCTAATTAATAAGAAATTATTAAAATCAAAATCTAAAGTATATTACACAGAGTTTAAAATTCACTAACTTAAACTATCTCAAAATTCAACAATTTGATGGATTACAAAACTTTTAGAATTTATTTTAAATTATTGATTTAATAACAACCCCTAAATGTAGTTTCTTTGATTTCTTGCTTTATTAGTTAGGTTGTAACTGAATGTTGTTTATCTAATTTCTTCTTCGTTTTTTTGACTAAGCATTTATCTACTTTCTTTAAATTCTTCGTAATTGAATGTAGTTTTATCTAATTTCTTGCTTTAAAAGTTAAAGATGGACGCGTTAGAAGTACTTACTCAAGAAGCTAAGTTAAAGTCACCTACTGATCAAAGCTTTTGTAACAAACTGAACTCCTCTATCATTCTCTATTTTTGTCTTATTGTCTGAATATTTTCTATAAATTATCACATTGTGTGTCTTGGTCTTGAATCATTACAGATATCTTATAACAATAGAGAAAAACAGAAAGAAAAATAATTATGGAGAGAACTGATATCTCAAAACTTCATGTAGATATACTGAGAGCAATTATGCTACGTGTACCTCTTGAATCTTTGGTTAAATGCATCCCTGTCTGCAGGAAATGGAGATCAACAATCCGTGGAGAAGGATTCAAAAACCTTTACTGGGCCCAATCCATGACAAGGCCTCGCTTGCTGATCGAATACAGTCGTGGAACGTTCACACAACCCTCAGATAAGTTGTTTCAGTCTGTTTATCAACAAGAGGAACCGTTGTTCTCGTCTGGTATAAAACAGATGCTTATCTCTTCACCACCACTCGACTATCGTATGTTTTCTGCACCCCAACGAGGTTTGGTCTGTCTTGGATATGAAACTAAGTTTGTGCTATGCAACCCGGGCACCAACAGGGGTAAGGCTTTACCGGAATGCGAACGGCTTCGACCAGTAGAAGAGTCGGAAATAATTTGTTTTTTCGGATACGATGAAGTTACACAAGTATTCAAGTTTTTAGTCTCGGAAATTGGTGCTTTATTATTTACAAGTGAATATTCGCATAAGCCACTAATGCCACAACAAGTTTTCACGGTTAAGCTAGCCGAGCTCGAGAGTATGAAAGAAAAATCTTGGAGAGTGATCGAATGTCAGCATAATCATGTCCCAGTTACTAAATCACTATGTTTGAATGGAGCTTTGTACTATGGAGCTAAGTCCCTTGTGGAGACGGATAAATCTATGATAATAAGCTTCGACTTGGGGTCTGAGAAGTTCACAATTATTGACTTGCCAGAAGGAGTAAAACTTGCGTACGTTGGTGATAGATTGGTGAACTATAACGGGGAAGTTTGCTTAGTGAAAGACTTATGGGATGTCAGGGACGACGGCACTAGAGTGTATAAGATTTATGTTAGAGATGAAAGTGCAAGAAAATGGAGGGAAATGGCCGTTGTGATTCCTTGCTTGGGAGATGATGTTGGGGATGTGAGGTTTTGTTGCGCAGGTACCATTGGAACAACAGAAGAGCTTGTACTTGTTTTCGCAACGGAGTCGGTGGAGAAAAAAGGATCACCGTTGGTGTTGTATTACGACACAGCCACAAAGAATCTGAGATTGTTTCAGATGGAAGGGGTGGATGAGAATTTATATTTCACTCCTCGAACCTTTGTGAATCATTATGATAGTCTTTTGCTTACGTAATTAAGAAATTGGCTGGTTCTTCAGTACGTTCCTCAAATAATATAATATAATATAATATAGCAGTAGTATTATTAGGGTTATTGTCAATAAGTTATTGGGATTGTTTGTCATTCAGTCTCTCAAGTATAGCTAAGTTTTATTGGGTCTGTTATTTAATATTTGCTTTATCTTAAGGAATAATGTTCTATATATCAGTTTCATACATTTATTTATATGCTCTTGCATACTGGATCAATCAAGTATGTAACGTTCATTAACATTTTTAACTGTTTCTCATACCCTTTCATGAAACAACTCTTTGGGGGGGGGGGGGATAGCTTAAACCAAAGAGTTGTGAACCTTATTAAATACTAATAGAGGAGAAACTAAGCCATATATGTGCTTCCATGCACCCAACTAAAGACAGTCCTCTATACAGACTAGATGTCACGCGGCTGTGTTCTTGCTATTTTGTGATTCCAGTAGAGAAATTAAAGAAGAGTATAAGGACACGTTTTAACACCTTTATACGATACACATAATTATTTCAAAATATTACCAAATAAAAATTATATATCCCTATATATATTAAAAGAGAAGCATTATAATATAATATTTCTTAAAATTTCTATAAAAAAATATTGGTCCATATAAACATATAATATATTTTTTATTAAATAACTATAACACTCTTTATTCTTTCATTAAATAAAACTATGGAATTACCTAATTTAATTTATATATATGACAATTAATGATCTAAATAAGAAATATTTGATAAAAAATTATGAACCCTATATTTTTTTGTTAAATTTATATTATAAAAATAAATATAACAATCACAATAACTATATTAAATGGCTAAATTATAATTGGTTGATTTTGACGTTATCTTCCAAAGATGACAAAACATTTTAAAAAAGATTGTTAAACAATTTCAGCACTAAAATTTCAACACATAAACCAGTCTTCTACTTCATATCATGTCAACAACCACATTAGCAACATTAAATACCCAACAAAAACAACTTCCACTGAAACGAGAGAATCAAATGGACCTACTTACATTTACTGCTCTCGCAGTATCTTATACAATAAAGTAGGCTTCTCTCCCTTCTCATGCATCCACATCAGCATTTGTGAGGGGGGCAAAAAAAGCCATGTCAGCAATAACCTAAACCAAATAGACTAAACAAAATTTATCTCTCCCGTTTCGGTTTCAATTGGCTTTCTGTTTGTCGGTTTTGTGGTTGTTGTTGGGCTGGCTATTTTGTGTGGTAGAGGCCCAATTTTTTTTTAAGTTTTTGTTGTTAAAACGGAAACACAGCAAATAATGGCATAAATCATCTATAATACCAAAATTAAAGCAATTTGAAGTTTTTTTTTGCGTTCAATGCCACGTTACAGACACATCTATTTAGATATTTCAGATAATGATAATAAATACCTAAAAAGGTAAATCAAACCCTCAAAATAATTTTAAAATTATTCCACAAATCTATGGCGTTTGCAACAAATACAAACTTATCTAATGTCAAGCAAACCAAAAAAGGTTTATTCGATACCCACATATAAATTACCTTTCAAATTATATTATAAGTATTAAAACCAAACAAAATCATAAGGAAATCCGGTCGGTTAATTTTTAATCCATAAATTACACATCAACCCACTCAGCATACATGCAACGGTACAACATAAATAATAACAATCAAACCGCAAAGAAATTCAACGCAAAATTATGGCTTCCAATAATTATATTTAAAAACGTAAACGACGTTACAATCAACACCGTGTCCAACGTCCTATATAAACAAGTGCACAACACAAAAAAACTAATAAGGACAGCGTTAGAATTAAAAAAAAAAAAACCTCGATCATTTTTCGATGAGTTTCATGAATCCAAAAAACATAATACCCTCACCCTTGAATTTTGCCCGAAGACATGTGTCTCCTAATTGTTTCCAAAGTAGGCTATGACCCCCCCCCCCCACCCCACCGACTACTTCAACACACATCCAAAACCCTCAGTTTCAGTTCTGAGAACTTCTTTGTTGCAAAGGATCTCAACCTCTCACCTTTGGTGAAGAAGCTTGCTCTAGCTCATCGGTAACAAAAGTTGGTGCAAAACTGCCTCAACGCGAACAATGTTGACGCTCACTATGTTAAAGGCATGCTAGAATTCTTCGAAACTCGAAATCACTTCAACAC